AAACCAGTTTTACCAGATTAAACCTTTCAAATAAGTTGTACCTACTTATAAGTTTTGAATGTTTTGTCAAATTCAGATACTGCAAATCACTGGTTTTCTCAATTTCATTTCATTTCCACACAGAACATGAATTTATCCAATTAAAAAGATTCTTCCCACAAACTGAAATATTCCAGAGCTCATTTTAGAATTTCAAAATTAACTCTTCTACAGCATTTGATTTTGATCATTTTCTGATACATTTTATAATTTTTCTGCATACCAGCTTTGTTTTCAGTACTTATAATTCACTAAAAGCTTTGAAAGCTGATGTTTTGGTGCTCTATTTATTGAATAACTTGACTAAATATTTCCAACTGATTTGGAACAAAATTCAACAAAAATTTAGAGATCTGTTTCAACACACTATTTAATAACGTTTTATGGCACTGAGACTCAGTGTCCTCCAAAATTGGTTGATAATGGGAAAATAAAAGAGAAAACACATGTGAAAGTCAAATGTTTTAAAAAATTCATGAACAACTTTGTCACATCAAGTTTGTAGTTCAGTAAATCTGTGCATATGTTTTAACATTTTATAAATCTTGTCACGTACACCTATTTCTATTTATAGAATATTGACATTTATTTACATGCAGTAACAAATTGTGTATGCACCATGACCTGTTCCAATCACATTTCTGTTTCATTAGTGTCTTAATTTAGTAGGAATATTGTTGTTACCATGACACTGGACTCCACCAAAATTTGTGTTTTATCCTCACAAAAATGCAATGACTTTATTTCCAATGTGGAAAATTTAAACAACTTAAAATAGCATTCACAAAAAGTCAGTTGTTTCACTTTGCCAGAATGAATGTTGCAAAGCCCTGCTTTGCTTCCATGAGCTGAATGAAAGGATGAATTGTGATTGGAATTGACAGGCTTTTCTGTCTGAAGAGTCTGAGGATACTGGTGTTGAGCGGGCACCATTTTGCTTTCTATGACATTCTTCTTATGGAGCCAACGCACAGTCAGCCATCACTTCCACTGTTGCACGTGCACAAGAAAAGCTGGAATTAAATGTGAGCTGAGTTAACTTAAAAAACAGTCATTTGATCTAAGGGAAAAGTCATGCCCCTCAGAATGATCTTATATCAGCATCTTTTGCAACTACATGGATGAGAACTGTGTCTTAGGGCGCAATGTTCTTTTGGTTTTTTGTGTTTTTCTGAGACAGAGTCTCACTCTGTCACCCAGGCTAGAGTGCACTGGCACGATCTCAGCTCACTGCAACCTCTGCCTCCTACGTTCAAGCAATTCTCTGCCTCAGCCTCCCAAGTAGCTGGGATTACAGGCACCTGCCACCATACCCAGCTAATTTTTATATTTTTAGTAGAGACAGGGTTTCACCATCTTGGCCAGGCTGGTCTTGAACTCCTGACCTCTTGACCCACCTGCCTTGGCCTCCCAAAGTGCCGGGATTACAGGCATGAGCCGCTGTGCCTGGCCTGGTGCAATGTTCTTAAAATTACTAATTTCTAAAGTAGCAGCTCTGTGTCAGGTTTTCTTGCAATCAGTGAAATTGCTACAGACCCCATAGTGATGCAAATGTCAACAAATATTCTATGCAAGCTATCTGCTCATCAGCAACTTCCTTGAGCAACAGAAGTGCAGTACTTAAATTTCCATTAAACATTTGTTTTTTAGCTCATCACTCCAAAAGGGTTTATTGCAAATTCTTTAAGTATTGCCAAATGATAAAATAAACATAGTTTTGGATTTATGCCCTGCAAAAAATGATCAAACTATTGTAACAAGAGCCTCCAGCCTCCTCCATATTATGCTCTGGGTGGGGACTGCTCGGCTTCCATGTGCCATGGATATTTCACAACCACCAAATCATAATTTCCCGTGTCTCCTGTTGATCTGTCAACTGGCAGCTCTGCAGCTTCTGCTCTTTTATCTACTCTCTCTCTTGGTGATTTCATCCAGCTGTGTGACTTTAAATGCCGTTCCTGTGGTTACAACTCCCAGTTATGTCTCATCATCCCAGATCTTGTCCCTGAATACCACACTTGTCTATCTAATTGCCTACCGGATGTCCCCATGTGATGTCCAATTTACATCTCAATCTTAACAATTCCAAAGTTGAACTCCTGATCTTCCCCACCCCCCACAAAAAAACTGCTTCATCTTCATTCTGTCACCTTCATTTCAGCTGATGACAACTTCATACTTCCAGGTGTTCAGTGCAAAAACCTTGGCATTGTCCAATTTCTCCTTTCTCCTACCCAGATCCAACTGAAAATCATGGTGTTACTACCTTCAAAACACCTCTAGGATTTGATCACTTCTCACCACCTGCACTGCTACTCTTCCCAGCTGTCACTCGCCAGCATGTTTATTCAGTGTGTGTGTTGTTTATCAACTCCTTCCTCCCGCTAGGCTTATACGCACACTGAGAGCAGGGGTTTTTGCCTGCTGTATTCACTGCTTTGTCCTAAATACCTAGAACAGTACCTGGCACATAGTACATTCTCAGTAAATACTTGTTCAGCAAAAAAAAAAAATGACTGGAGGAACCAGTGAATTATACCCCAGTGTGAATAACTCCATGTGAGTGACATGACAGACTATCACAGCTAGAAGAGCCTCTTGAGGACATCGTGTCTTCCTTCAGTGAGGAAAGTCAGGCTCAGAGACATGAACTGACTCTCCCGAGGTTACACAACCAAATATGCTCTTCCAGGACTAATTCTCTGCTACACGATAGCTTTTGTTGGTATCTGTGAGGCTTTGCGCAGTTGAAGCAATCTCAGGTGTCACCCAGTAATAACAATCATGATGGTGACAGCTAACATTTGCCACGTGCTTACGATAAGTCAGGAACCCTGCTAAGCACTGGGTGTATATTAACCTATCCAAGTTGTGGAAGAATGTTTAGACTCTGAAGATCATCTGGAGCCCCATAAATCCCACAGTGTAGGCAGCTGCTCACTCTGCGGATAGTGTTCTGTGGGTCCCCGAGTTGGCTGTGGCCGGTTTTGCGGGCAGGAGGCCACAAAGCCATGAGCACAGGATGGGATCTACCCCTTGTGGGACCACAGAGGGCTGGGAGACACACTCTTCCCTATGGAAAGAGACAGAGCTTTCTATCCCTCTCCCGGTGAAACTCAGCATGGGACCATGGGAGGCAGGTCGGCTGCGTGGCTGTGAACGTGAGCTACGGGGGGCATGCAGACCAAAGTTCATAGTGTACACTGTGCCCACCAGCTCTAGCTCCTCCAGCAAGCGTAGGAGGCCAGTCAGCTGCATGGCTGTGAGCACGGCCTCTGGGGCCCATGCAGACCAAGGCTCCTGGCGTAGCACTGTAAACACCACCTAGGTCTTCTCCGACAAGCTGGTTAACTTCTCTCAGCCTGGCTTTGTCCTTCACCGAGCAGGGACAGGTGCAGCAGAAGAGAGCAGAAAGAAGCACAGGCTGTCAATCAGGCTCTCAAATCAGACTGCCTGGGTTTGAATCCAGGCTCTACTGACCAGCTGTGGGACCTCAGACAGGTGACTCTGGGTCTCAGCACTCAATTTTCTAATTGGCGAAGTGGAGATGACAATGGCCCCTACCTTGAATGACTGCTAGGAATATTAAATGAGAAAATACTTAAATGTGAAACACTTAGAATGGCACCTGGAACACAGAGACCATTAATACCATCTAACAAATGTAGTTGTTATCCTTATTTATTACTCATGCTTTCCTTTTTCTTTTATCTTTTTTTTTTTTTTTTTTTTCCCCCCCTCTTTTTTTTTTTTTTTTTTTTTGTTGTGGTTGTTGTTGTTGAGACAGGGTCTCAGTCTGTCGGCCCAGGCTAAAGTGCGGTGGCACAATCATGGCTCGCTGCAGCCTCGACCTTCCAGGCTCAAACGATCCTCCCACCTCAGCCTCTTGAGTTGCTGGGACCACAGGTGTGCACCACCATGCCCAGCGAATTTTTGTATTTTTTTGTAAAGACAGGATTTCACCATGTTGCCCAGGCTGGCCTTGAACTCTTGGGTTCATCTGATCCACCTGCCTTGGCCTCCCAAAGTACTGAGATTACAGGTGTGAGTCACCACACCTGGCCAGCACTCATGTTTTTCAGGCCCATAAGAGGAACCTCCTAGCACTGCCCCCATCCCTTCCACCACACTGGTCCCAGCCACAACAGGTCAGCTTCCTTTGCTGTTCCCGGGCTTCCCTCAGTTCTGTTTCAAGCCGTGACCTCTGCCTCCATGTCTGCAGCCCCATGAGGCTGGGGCTACTCTGTCCTGCATATCTTCAGTGCCTGGCAAGGGGCTGGTGTGAGGTAATTGCTCACTAAATGCCGTTAAAACCCTAATAGTAATAATAATAATAATAATGGTGCAGTTGTTACTAAGACTAATCACTACCTTCCAAAGTCTTTCCTCTATGCCAGGCACAGAGCTAAGCACCCTGTAGATCCTAACAACAGCCCTCCCATGATCCCACAAGAGAGACACGATTCTCTCCAATATTTAAAAAGGAAAGTGAAAGTCCATAGGTCTAAGTAGCTCACACTGAGTGATTGTACCAGGATTTGGACTCAGGCACCATCCCTTAAACCAGAGGTCAGCGAACTTTTCCTTTGCAGGAACAGATGGTAAATATCTTCAGCTGTGCAAGCCAGACAGTCTCCGTTACAAGCACTCGACTCACCCTTGTAGCATGAACGCAGCCGTAGAGAATGTGTCCATGAATGGGTGTGGTTCTGTGCCAATAAAACTTTATTGTCCAAAAACAGGTGACAGGCTGGTTTGGCTCATAGGCTGTAGTCTGCCACTTCCTGTTTTATTCTACCTGCTGTTCATTTCAGGTCACTGTGCATGGCATCCTGGCCCCCTCTAGAGCTCCAGTCCTCCAACCAGAGCCAGCTGTTCCCTCAAAATGCTACAGCCTGTGACAATGCTCTGGAAGCCTGGGACCTGCTGCACAGAGTGCTGCCGACATTTATCATCTCCATCTGTTCCTTCGGCCTCCTAGGGAACCTTTTCGTCCTGTTGGTCTTCCTCCTGCCCAGGCGGCGACTAAACGTGGCAGAAATCTACCTGGCCAACCTGGCGGCCTCTGATCTGGTGTTTGTCTTGGGCTTGCCTTTCTGGGCAGAGAACATTTGGAACCAGTTTAACTGGCCTTTCGGAGCCCTCCTCTGCCGTGTCACCAACGGCGTCATCAAGGCCAATTTGTTCATCAGCATCTTCCTGGTGGTGGCCATCAGCCAGGACCGCTACTGCATGCTGGTGCACCCTATGGCCAGCCGGAGGCGGCAGCGGCGGAGGCAGGCCCGGGTCACCTGCGTGCTCATCTGGGTTGTGGGGGGCCTCTTGAGCATCCCCACATTCCTGCTGCGATCCATCCAAGCCGTCCCAGATCTGAACATCACCGCCTGCATCCTGCTCCTCCCGCATGAGGCCTGGCACTTTGCGAGGATTGTGGAGTTAAATATTCTGGCTTTCCTCCTACCACTGGCTGCGATCGTCTTCTTCAACTACCACATCTTGGCCTCCCTGCGAGGGCGGGAGGAGGTCAGCAGGACAAGGTGCGGGGGCCGCAAGGATAGCAAGACCACAGCGCTGATCGTCACGCTCGTGGTGGCCTTCCTGGTCTGCTGGGCCCCTTACCACTTCTTTGCCTTCCTGGAATTCTTATTCCAGCTGCAAGCAGTCCGAGGCTGCTTTTGGGAGGACTTCATTGACCTGGGCCTGCAATTGGCCAACTTTTTGGCCTTCACCAACAGCTCCCTGAACCCAGTCATTTATGTCTTTGCGGGCCGGCTCTTCAGGACCAAGGTCTGGGAACTTTATAAACAATGCACCCCTAAAAGTCTTGCTCCAATATCTTCATCCCACAGGAAAGAAATCTTCCAACTTTTCTGGCGGAATTAAAACAGCATTGAACCAAGAAGCCTGACTATCTTATCAATTCTTTGTGACATAATAAATGCTATTGTGATAGGCTAAATAATCACTCCCATCGGTTGGGGGGTACTTAATCCCTGGACTTTATGAATGTTACTTTATATGATAAAGGGGACTTTACAGCTGTTACCAAATTAAGGGTCTTGAGATGGGGACATGATCCTGAATTATCCAGGTGGGCCCTATAGAATCACAAGGGTCCTTATAAGAGGGAGGCAGGAGGCTCAGAGTCGGGAGATGTGACTGTGGAAGCAGAGGCCGTAGGAATTCAGGGCAGCCACTGTGAGCCAAGGATTGCAGGCACTCTCTAGAGGCTGTAAAGGGCAAGGAAATGGCTTCCCCCAGGAGCCTCCAGAAGGAATGGGTCCTGCCAACTCCCTGTCTTCAGCCCAGGGAAACAGATTGAGGATTTCGGGCCTCCAGAACTGTTAGAGAATACATTTGTGTTTTGTTGTTTTGTTTTGTTTTGCTTTGCTTTGCTTTTTTGAGATAGGGTCTCGCTCTGTCGCCCAGGCTGGAGTGCACTGGCACAATCATGGCTCACTGCAGCCTCAATTTCCCAGACTCAGGGGATCTTCCTACCTCAGCCTCCTGTAGCTGAGACTACAGGTGTGCACCACCATGCCTGGCTAACTTTTCTATTTTTTGTAGAGATGGGGTCTTCCTGAGTTGTCCAGGCTGGTCTCAAATCCAAGGGCTCAAGTGATCCTCCACTTTGGTCTCCCAAAATGCTAGGATTATAGGCGTGGCCACTGCGCCTGGTCCCATTTGTGTTTTAAGCCACCAAGTTTCTGGTAATTTGTCATAGCAGCAGCAGGAAACAAATAACAAGTATTGGGTAATGGCCTCTCTTATTACACTTCCATTTGTCTTTTCAAAGCTTTCTAGGCTAACTGCCAGGAATACAGGGATGGTACAGCTGGAAGTTCTATCTCCAAGGAACTTACATACATCCACATATTATCATATAAAAAATGAAATGAGAAATTGCATGAGCACACCACGGATCCAGCATCTTTCTCTGTCAGAGAGAAAGGGGATGGGTTCCCTCTCAGGTTAGCGGAGAAGACGCTGTGAAGGGAGTCAGCCGTGAGCCTGGTTTCCACAAAGGGTGCAATCTGGATACGTGGAGACAGGGAGGAAGGGCTGGCGGAGGCGGGAAAGGGGGAGCTGCTCACAAAAGAATGCTTGCGCATGCTCTTGTTGAATGTGTAAGGCATTGGTGCGGGTCTTGCTACGAGAGACCCAAAGGTGACCTAACAGTGTCTCTACCCTCCAGGGACTCACAGCAACCGGGACAATAATTAAGAGATTGTCATAGAGCAGGGTGCCCCCCTTCATCAGGGTGAGGGGTGCCGTGAGAACCAGAGCAGGGCTCCAGTCTGGGTGGCTGGGAGGGATGGTTATAGAGGGGTTCCTGGAAGAAGAGACACATAAACTGAATCCCCAAAAATGAGAAGCTGACCAAGCAAAATGGAGGAAAGGAGTGTTCCAGACCGAAGGAACAGAGTAGGCCCAGAGGCAGGTGGGGTTACAGGTTAGGAGGGAGAGGTTGAAGGACGGCAGAGGACGAGGTGGGTCACGGAGGGAATTGGGGCTGGAGGAGAATGGACAGGCTGGGTCCACAATGGTCAGCTGGCAAAGACAGTTCACCCAGGAAGCATGGTGGGCTCCAGGGGGCTTTGAGGGTCCCCTTGAAGCTGGAAAGCATGGCTGTGTTGTGTGAATTTACTCTCAATGCTCGACAGACCCAGGAAAGGATTGCTCTGGAGGAGGGTTTAGCCAGACAGACGGCCATACGTCATGGGAGTTGGGGATCCTGGTCAGACTCTGGGGAATAATGGAGAAGGAAGAAACAAGCACAGGGAGAGAAAGAAGTGAAGTGAGATCAGTGTGTTAAAGGACGGGTGTAATGAGACAACCTGGGTGACAGAGCAAGAAAGAGAAGAAGGGCTGGGCATGATCTTCTGTACACTGTGAAGGGAGTCAGTCGTGAGCCTGATTTCCACAAAGGGTGCAATATATAATCCCAGCACTTTGGGAGGCTGAGACAGGTGGATGACTTGAGCCCAGGAGTTCGAGACCAGCCTGGGCAACATAGCAAGACCTCATCTCGACAAAAAATACAAAAATTATCCCGGCGTGGTAGTGCGCACCTGTAGTCCCAGCTACTCGGGAGGCTGAGGCAAGAGGATCATCTGAGCCCAGGAGGTCAAGGCTACATGCAGTGAGCCAAGATTGTGCCACTGCATTCCAGCCTGGCTGACAGAGGGAGACCCTGTCTCATTAAAAGAGAGAGAGAGAGAGGAAGTCATAGCCACAGAGCAGGAATGTTTGAATAGAACATTCCAGAGGCAGAGCCATCCCAGGAGATGACAAGGACCAAGTATATCCCTGACACCAGGTGGCTGAAGTAGAGGGAAGAAGGAGGTTGGAGACAACATAGTCAGCGAATGGGGAGGTCAGGTGGTGGGTGGGCCCTCCACTGGGCCCCTGCAGGCAGGTGGGACACTGTCAGGCCCTGGGGAGGAGAGAGTCCGTGGGCCAAGAAGCCATTCCAAGGTCAGTTTCCATGGTGTAGGGGAGAGGGTGTAGTGACTGGACTCCAAGACACTTGGGGGAATGGGGAGAATGGCAGTCCCCACAGCTGCACGGGAAGGGCTGGTCCTCACAAAACAGCAGCAAAGACTCATTCGTTCCAGGAATGGAAAGAATGCCATGTTCTTGCAGCCTGGAGACAGGGTGTGAGAGGCTGGCAGCGGCTGGGCCACCGGGACCTCATCAGTGATAACCCTGTGATCAGTGCTCCAGCCCCTGCAGGTTTTCTGGAGAGCAGAGTGCGGTCAGAAGGCCTGGAGCTGAGCCGACAGGCAAGATCCAGCCTGCACATGTGTTTAATTTGGACCACATGGCATTTTTTAGAACTCCAAGCTCCCAGGCTCTTGAGTTGGTTGCCAGGAATGAAACTCTCCACAGGGAGCCAGCTTTCCAGTTTCTCTTGAATGTTTGGAAGATCCAGCAACACTGATTCAATTTCATTCATTCAGCAGATATTTATTAAGCATCTACTTTGTCAGACACTGTTGTGGACACTGAGAATATGGCAGTGAACAAAAGAGAGGAACATCCCTGAGCTCTTTGGGGTTGACCTTCCGGGGTCCCCCCAGAGCTCCAATTCTTTGGTGCTGCATAGCAGAAGCCCTGTGAACAGGGCGCCCTCCCATCAGATTCACACACATGGCAACTATGGGAGGTTGGGTTTGCAACCCCTGATCCGGACCAGCTCTTCTTGTGCAGTCTAGGAAACAGAACAGTAAGACCTGTCCAAGTTCACCCAGTAGGACTCACAGCAGTCACACACAGCAATAGGCTCAGTCATCTTATTTAATCACCTGACTCCCCTGTGAGGTCTGTTTCAGGACGTCCACTTTCTAGGAGAGGAAGAGGAGGCTAAGGAAGGCAGTGCTTGCTCAGACTGCAGAGGCTGGATTCACCCAACTCATCTGACTCCAACACCAATGTGATTTCCAAGCCCCCAGGCAGGAATTCATTGGGCAAAGGCTCTGTGGCAAAGTGGCAAAAATAGACAGGAACAGGCAGGAATAGAGAGTGGGAAAGGGAAAATAATACCTGATCCCTCTTCTACTCCGAGCGAACTGACCCACGTATGCCCTCCTTTCTTGTTTCTCAGCCTGCCTGAAGCTGGCGGCTTATCAAAATCCTTTCTAGGGCTTGCAAAAACCAATCCCACACTCGAGAAGAACGTGCTGGCCAGTGAAATCGGACATTGCTCACAGGATCTAATTCAACGGTAGACTGCAGCCACATTCTGAGAAGTCAGACACCTGATTTATGAGATGCACATAAGTAACGTTTACTGAAGCCCAGCAAATGGCCCCACAGCGGGAGAGAAACTGGCAAACCCATACAGTAGAATTCTGTTGCCCTTCTGTGGTGAAGGCCAGTTATTCATTTGCAGAGGGAGAAATTTCTGCCTTGACTAAAACGATCGATGCTGTGGGAAAAGGTAATATATCTGAGTTCCCATGGATCTGGTTGACAGATTTGCCTGGCGTGTTCCACATGGGGCCAGGCCCAGGCCATACCTGTGGTGCTAACACCTGGGGTGGAGGGAGGAATTGGTAAATAGTCTTCCAGCATCCCCAGCTCCGGCCCCCATGTGGGCTTCCACTCTCTCCCTGAGAAGGGCCAAGTAGAGAGAGGGAGGAGCTTCCACTCCAATCCGCTCCCAGCTTTGGGTCTGTCCTGGGCTCCAGAACCGCATGATCAGATGCCGTATGTGGCCTTCACTGCTCCCGACAGTGGGAAAGTAAGAAAACTGCCCCCACCCTATCCCTTCATCACCCCAATCCGTCATGGGGAGTGGGCGGCGCTAAGGCTCTCCAAATAATCCATCATGGGGAGTGGGCGGCGCTAAGGCCCTCCAAATCCCAGCCTTGGGGAAACTCCCTGATGTCGCAATGGCCACAAGCAGGCTCTTGTTCTCCGGAGATGAGTCACAAGTTTGACGAGGAGCAGGTCGGAAGCAGCCCTGGGAAGTGTTCCTCCCCACCCTTGCTCCCACCACAGCTCCCAGGAGCCTGGGCATCCAACCAGGGCTGATCCAAGCCCTTGGCTCCGGCTGAGCTCCGCTCTGGCCTCTGTGCACCTTCAGCTCCTTCCTGCCATTCTCTTTCCCTGTGCCCAGTCCCTTTCTCCAGACCCCCTTGATTCCCTCTCAGCACCCTCATGCCTCCCCGGACCCCCCGAGCTCAGGCCCCTGCCAAAGAAGGGCCTCACGGCGGGGCTGCTGAGTGCACAGTGCAGCCGGTAAGAGGCCCAGGGCTCAGAGTCAGGCAGGCCAGTGTTCTAGTCCTCGCTCCACCACCGCATGAGCCTGGCCGACCGCAGAAACTCAGCAGCCCATCTGTCAAATGGGAATGAGGAGAGCAGTGCCTCGCTGTGTTGTTGTGAAAATTAAGTGAC